TAAAACTCTTTAGATAAGGGAATAATTACTATAGATGCTCTATAGAGTACTTAACAATGGTATCCACAGTAGGGGATGTTCAAGGGCCAGGCAACTGGGGCGGAGACTGCAGTATGAATTTTAAGCTGTATTTTGCAGTAGGATTTAAACGAACCTTCTTCTATAAGGTTAGATCCTCCTTAACAGATTTTACATAGCTAGCAGCTAAATAGATAGAAAAAATAAATAGAGGTTTCTATATTATTATTATTAAGCATAACTGATATGTTAAAGTAATATTACTATTTTATTTAATATTATTGCTGTCCTATCTTGTGCATTAATTGCAACCTAATATAACTAATATAACTAAACTATAAGTACTAAAACATAACGTATTATGTTACTTGCCACTGCAGTGCGTTTATCTTTAGATCTAGTGTCCTAAAGATTAAGTCTGTTAGGGTATGGAAATAATACCTACTGCTTTTCCCTGGTGTTCTCAATGATCTCAAGATGGTCAAGGGATCAATTGAAGATTTGACGCACTACACTTTTGGCAAGGGCAAACTCCGCCACAAGTTCTGCCCCAATGCGGCACCGCCATCGTGGTCACTATGCTTAATGGCCTTCCAAACTCAAACTTTGGCTTGAACGCGCGCTCAATCCAAGGCTTTGATAAGTGGCCACTCGAACGTCAACATATTGGGTACCCTGTAGTGGAGCGAGGAAACGACTTGCCGAATCGGCACCGACTGGGGATAACCTCATAACGCCAGACGGGGTTAACTAGACGTATCGCCGAGGAAGCCATATTTAAGTCCATTAATCGTCCTGAAGTGTCGATCTCATAATTTCAGAGGGCTATATAACAGTTGGATTCTACCGCTGGTTAATCAAATTCCAAGCCTTAACTCTTGTATCAAACTGAGGATTTAGCAATCAGCTTTAAAATCATCGCCATGTCTACCACTTCAGTCGAACCATCTTCCCCTATCGCCTACGGGCCATCTGAAACAGCTCTTCTCCTCCTTGATTGGTACACCCTGTTCATAGAGAAGGTTGCCGGACCAACTGCTGAACCAGCGTTGAAGGTCGCAGTTGAACTCAGAAACTGGGCCAAGGCTCACAACATCACGGTTGTCCACTGCCTTATCGACTCAAATGGCACTCCTTTCTCAGCCTGCAAAGGCGTCGATCGCTTCCAAGGGCTCTTGCAGGTCATGAAGACCCTGGAGGAACCCGAACCAGCTGAACTTCGGGCTGATGACAAAGACGAGCTCACCTTTCACCGTGTGCCGGGCCATATCTCGGCGCTCAAGTCCCCAGGCTTGCTTGGTTACTTGAAAAATAGGGGCATCAAGTCTCTTGTTCTCAGTGGTTTGAGCACTTCTGGCTGTGTTCTGAGAACGGCAGTCACAGCAACGGATGCTGAATTTGCAACAACAGTCATCAGCGACGCCTGTGCTGATGGGGATGAGGAGCTTCACCGGGTCATCATGGATAAGATTGTTCCTTCTAGGGGTCATGTGAAGAGTGCTGCAGAGTTTCAGAAGGAATTTGAGGGGCCTCAGAATGTTCGAACTGGACAACTGAGAGCGGCGCGGAGTTTGAATTAGAGAATTCTCAACGAAACGGGACTAAGAGATCAGACACTCCTCTCTGGAATAATATCGCGATCTCATGGGAGTATATAGGTCAATAAATAAAGCCGCATAATATTTTTAGGGTATCACACTAATTGTAAAAATGTTTTGTTAAACCTGTATGTAGTGATGACATTCCAATGGATCTTCAGGGGTGGGTTTAACATATTCTAGCTGTTATATCCGTCAGCCCAACGATACTGGATCAAGCATTCCCCCCACTATGGAAAATCGGGGCTCTTACGGAGAAGATTCGATCGGCTTCAAACTGGAGATGTCTCTCCCTCTTCCTATTTATTCCTGGAACTTACTCGCTCCTAGACTCACCCAGCTACAGCCAAATCATTGTTACAAGCTTGTGTCTATGCTCAACGTAAATCTGCATGGGTTCGCAGCGCACAAACCCAAATGGATGTCACAACTGTCGGCGAAAAAGATTCCGCTGTGACGGATCGGTTCCCTTTTGTCACAAGTGCATATCATTAGGCAAGGAATGTCTTGGATATGGTACACTGTGGAGATGGACGGATTCTGTATTCAGCCGCGGAAAGTTATCTGGCAAAAAGCTACCCTTACACGACTAAGAGCAGGCATCATCAAGTCAGACAGACACAGATGCGAGGAGACTGACTACAAACACTTCCAATCAAAGCATGAGCAGCAACTTTCGTCCAGGCTTGAATTTTAATGATAGCATACAACTTTCCGGCAACTTGACCGACCCCCTGTTCAGCGACATGAGCTTAAGCGATTGTTATTATTTATCGTATTGTTTGTCGTCTCCTGTCTGTCTCCGTTTGCCTTTTGCTGACAATGAGTAATCGGTTGCCAATGGTCTTTGTCCTCAGCTTGTAGCGATAGACCTACCAGGCCACAATCCATTCCCAACATTGTTACCAATGGGGTTCTGCAGCCCAGTCCTGCAATACACGATGATAACTGCCGCAGCTCTACACATGTCCAATGTTCCAAGGCCAGACACCGACAAGTCGCTGGTAACACAAAATCACACCAACAACTGGAATCCATCTCGGAGAGCTATGCTTGATGCATTGGCGGCTAAACAAAAGGCCCTTTACCTTCTCCGCATGGCATTTGAAGATCTGGAAACCCATGGACGTGATATGGTACTGACAGCTGCCATGCTTCTTGTCACCGCCGACATGATAGACGCGGGGAAACATGGCTCCAAGGCACATCTCGATGGAATAGGCTGGCTACTAAGCTATGCTCAGCCGACTACCAGCGTGAGCGAGATGCTCAAGGACTTTGTCATATCGGATTGTTACATGTAAGCTTTGTCCTTGTTCCTCGAGACAACGGAATGCTAACTGATGCATCAGCTTTTATGTGTTTGACTTGACATTCATGGACCAGATTCCCCAGTCTTCTCTTGCACTCAATACTACAATCGCGTCATCCGCTATTCACTATGCCGCCCGGAACAGGTTTATTTGCTGCCCTGCTGAGATCCTCCAAATTCTTTGGTCCACTGCAATCATCTTGCAGCGGCAGTCGGCCAATAACAATGATGTGGATGGAACGGCTGCAAAAGGCATTGAATTATTCACCGACGCCATGACTTTCAACGTTGAATCATGGTCTCAGGATATCCAGCAAGTGCCTCTTGGTCGGCAGGTCACTGACATTTCAAGCCGGATACACACAGGATATACACATCAGTTGGCGTGCTGTCTATACATCATGTACGCCGTTCCTTCAGTCAGGAGCTTTCTACCAGAAAGTACAGAACAGGATCTTGAACACGGGCTCATTTTCCATCTCCGTCACATCACTGATGAGGACCCCAACTTCAAGACATCGTTTTGGCTAACGTTCATTGCGGGAGCTCAAACGAGTGATCCCAGTCAGCAAGCGTGGATAATGGATAGAATGAAAAGGCAGTCACGTCTGTTTCCCTGGGGTTTTCTGTATACAGCAATGGACACTCTTGATCTTATCTGGAGGCAGCGGGCTAACGCTCCCGATGGGCTGAACTGGTTGGAGATCCTGAGAAGTCCGGAAGTGAGCTTTCTGATTGTGTAGGTAGACACTTTGCAAGGTCTCATAAGATCAGGTCTCTACGACCATAGCCACGAGCTCACTTGATGTAAATAGCTGTTCTTAGCAATACTCGCCGTTATTGATATGTTGTCAACTAATCATGAGAGGCACGTTGTGCATTTTTCGTTAAACTTGTGTAAGAAATAATAAAGGCATTTGGCATTCCAAGATTTCTCTTAATAAAATACATACTTCACAAGACTAATCTATAGGCGACTTGAGATTGATCGGCCGCCCGCTACAGATCTCGCAGCCTCCTTTCCAGCCTTGGCTCCAAAAACAGCTCCTGAAGTCAGGCCACTTCCGCCAGGGTAATTCGAGTAGAATAGGCCCCCCACCATCTCTCCCGCAACATAAATGTTTGGCACTGGACTGCCAGTTGAACCATAGATCAACTGAGCAGTTTGAGGGTCAACCTTGACACCACCAAATGTGAAGGTGACGCCGCATGTGACCTTGACAGCCACATAAGGTCCCTCGTCCAAGGGCAGAGCCCAGTTGGACTTTGCCAAAGCAAGCTTCTTCGAGGAAGACTGTGTTGATAGTCCATCTCTGGTGGCAGGATCCCACTTCACATTGGGGTTCTCGCGACAGTGAGCATAGACCGCTTCATTGTATTCACGAACAGTGTCAATAAAGGCAGCCTTGTTTCGGAGACCACCTTTTGCGCACTTATCGGCCAGCTCCTCCAGAGTATTGGCAGTGATCCGCTCAACACGTTCCTCGCGGTACTCTTCTCCCCGCAGCCAACAGCTTGTTCTGGAGTCCCAGACTTGGAAAGCGAGGTGCTCGGGTTGTTGGAGGATGGCCCGACCGAACTTGGCATAGGTGTAGTTTCGAAGATCGACACCTTCATCAACGAATCTCTCCCCATCGACGTTGAGCATGAGGCCGAGAGGGTATCCTGACTTGGTGTACTCATTGGAGGCTTCTCGATCGCCCGTGTTGGGGTTAGCGTTGGCATCCCAGGCAACAGAGTGGCAGCCCGACCAGTTGCCCACAGCTTGCGCTCCAAGTTGTTGGATTGCCAGTCCCAAAACATCACCAGTGTTGTAAGGTGTCCCTCTGACCATGGCCAGGTCCCAGCCAGGTCCAAGGAACTGACTTCGCATCTGAGGATTCGACTCGAAGCCGCCAGCAGCTAAAATGACAGCACTAGCACTCAGTGTTCGTTTGACACCATTAAGAGACACTTGAACGTCGTAGCCGTCATCAGAGGAATGCTTATTTAGTCCCGTAAGGCCAGTTGACCAAGAAACTTGAACATTGTGCCTCTTGATGGCAGCAAGATAGTCCTGAATGAGACCCTTGCCTCCATCCTCGGTCTTGATGCACATGCCGCCCCAGAACTTGATCCTCCCATCAACCTCATAAGCTTGCCTGTTGAAGGAAAGTTGGAATCGTATTCCATTCGCAGCAAGCCACTTGATGGTAGCATTGGAGTTTTGGATAAGGCTCTTCGAGAGTTCAGGGTCTGAGCGACCCATGCAGACTCTGTCCATATCGCCTTGGAAGTCCTTCTCAGTATAAGGAGCAAGATCGATCTTCTCGGCTTGTTCCCTGGAGACGTTGTTGACGATTGGCAGGACGTCTTGGAGTCCGCCATGGGCGATTCGATAGGCGCCGGCGGTGAAATAAGAGTTTCCGCCGACCCAGTTCTCGGGGCACTTATCAATGAGAAGAACGCTTCCTGCACCGTTCTGAGCTGCTGAGAGAGCTGCTGCAAATCCAGCATTGCCACTACCTACAACTAGGACATCGACTTGCTTTGGAAGGGACATGGTAGCGGGACGACTTTGGTAGGGGAATTGGGATAAATATGATACCTAGAATATGGTGTGTGATTGAAAAGATAAAAATATTGTGAATAGGCCATAATGAAGAGTTTATATAAATATCTCAATGCCTCAAAGAATGGTACCATCGTCAGAACGCCACTCAAAACGCGGGGATTCGTCCTCCGAGTTGACGACCAAGCCACTGTGCAAGTGCTTTCAATTGGTCTTGTTCTCCCAGCATGTGGCTGATAGTGGAGAGTCAAAAAGACGTCGCGGAGACTAATCCTCCGAGTGATGGCTCGGTTACGTCGGTAAAGACAAGACTCCACATCCCACTCGGAGCTTTCTCCTCCGGCCTACAAACCCAAGTTTGCTTCAACTCTGCGTCCAAGATAGGCCCTCCGCCAACAATCTTATCATACATGTCATATCATTATCGCTCCACTGTTTTTCTAGACCCTGCATTATGTCTTCTCGGGACAATGACGTGATAATGGTTGCTGACGGCAGAGGCAGTCAACGGCAACCCAAGTCTTTAGCAAAAGCGTGTACGGCCTGTCGGACCAAGAAGATCCGTTGCGATGCTGCGAAGCCTGAGTGTGGAAATTGTGCCAGTCAGAAACGCGAATGTATCTATCGAAGAGAGACTCCGCGGAAAAGGTATGTCATACTATATCAAGTTGATGCGTCTAATAAGTGACAGGCCTACCTTTTCGCAAATTGGTAAACTGCAACGGGACCTGGCAACTCTTAAAGTGTTCCTCTTGACTCTCAAGAGAAGTAGTCCGGAGGAGCGGGAGAAACTACTCAATGCAGCTGTCGATGAGGATGGGGCTGTCAACTTGCTAGACTCTACTACTGACCCAGCTGAAGTGGCTTTATTGCGTACGGTCACAATACAGCCTATCGATAGAAGTGACACCACACCAATAGTGTCATCAGACGATGAGCTAAATATTGCCAACTTCATATCCGTCGATGATGCTGGCACAACTAACAGCTTCGGTCCATCGTCTGCTCTTCACAATCCTGCAAGGACAGACAAAGGAATACCATCGCCCCGCCATTCTACAACAACAGAGCATATCAAGAATGGATTGATAGCCAATGCCGCTTTACAACGGCACCTCGAGCACAGACTTACCAGACATGCGACAATTGCAGGAGAGCCAACAGAGCTTGCACTCCATCTGCTAAACTTGCATTGGGCTCGTCAACATCACACTTTTCTGCTAACGTATCGGCCGGCTGTCATGCGAGACTTGGAATGTTCCGGTCCGTACTGCTCTGCTTTCATGCTCAATGCCATATTCGCATGCTCTAGCAAGTTCTCTCCCCGATCTGTGGTCAGGGACGACCCAGATGATGCATCCAGCGTTGGCCGTCGCTTCTTCAAGCGCTGTGATGAGCTTCTCAGCAGTGACTCTCTTCTTGCCAGGCCACATATCTCAACAATCGTAGGACTTATTCTTCTGGGCTCGACTTATAATGCTCGTGGAGAGACCTCAAAAGGGTGGCTATATACAGGATACGCTCTACGAATGGTTTATGATCTTGGTCTCCATCTTGATCCCAAGCCGACTACGGAAGACCCTGAAGAGATTGAGATCCGTAGAAGGGTCTTCTGGGGCGCTTTTGTCTGCGACAAGCTCCAGAGCTTGTACATGGGTCGTCCAGTTGCTATCAATCTGCGGGACTCACAAGTCTCTCGCGAATTCCTTGACTTGTATGAGGAAATGGAGCCATTTTATCCTTCAGCCTTAGCTACAGGCTCTCCATCCAGGCTCGATGAAAACATGGGCGATGCCATTCCGAGACATTCCGTTTCGACTTTCCAGCGATTATGCCTTCTCTCGAAGATAATGACAACAATTATCAATCGCTTCTATGTGGTTGGGGCCACGTTCTCAAACGCTCAAATCGATCTACAAAGGATTGAGCAGGCCTTGCAGCAGTGGCGAGACAAACTACCGCCGGAGCTAGATTTCCAACCATGGTTGTCCACGAGCCCTGCAGTACAAACACCCAACATCATGGTTCTTCACAACGTCTATCATTCCCTTGCCATTCTTGTACATCGGCCGTTTATCTCCGATGATCGTCTTCGATCCACTGCCACGTCGGGACGGTCATGGGAGCAGTGCACCGTTGCAGCCAGATGCATCACTAGTATAGCCTCAGTATACAAGTCAACATATGGGCTTACCGGGGCTCCGTATGTGCTCGCGTACACAGTGTATGTGGCCTGCACAATACATGTACGCAATGCAGCTTCTCAGAGCCAGACGCGTGATCATTCAGCAATGCTTAAGTCTAGTTTAGAGTGCCTGGATGAACTATGTACGGCGAACCCTGGTGTTGCAAAGCCTGCAAGGAGTATTAGGCGTTTGATCGAGGCTAACCGGCAGAATCTAATGACAGGTGTGTCTAAAATTCTACCTTGTGGTTGCTTGCATGATATTAACTTCTACGTAGAAGAAACAAACCCTCTTGAGCAAATAGACCTGTCGTTTGACTTAGATACTATTCAAGGCACGTTTTCGGTTGCTGACTGGTCTAACGCGGGATCTGATATGTTTCATATAGTAGATTCTGAGTACTGTCTACCAATTGACCCCCTGTTTGGTTGGATAAACGTCTCGACTCCATTACTAGAGGAAGAGACGCTAACTTTAAGCAGCACTTAGTTACTGCATTAACTATAGCGGTAGCAGTAAATCCTTTTATAAAAGTAATTATAAGACTTTATTATGCATTTTTAAGTCTCTTTAACTGCTTATATATATTAGTAAATTATATATTAAATTT